CTTCCATCAGGCTCTTGAACTGGAAAGCTCTCATCTGTTCGAGATGAATTAGGGTTGTTCAACCATAAAGCCATGCCTTTCCTTTTAAAATTATGGCTAAGAAAAGAAAAAGTTGTTGGAATTAATGAATCCAGAAGACAAGAAAAAAAATAAATAAATAAACTAATTGGCGAGAGGCGATTTCTTTTGGAAGGCCGATATATTCGAAATGCATTGTTATGCGGTTTTTGTAGCAATGCAATGCGAAAAACGCATACTGACGAGAGGTTGTCTGTATATGCGCTGGGACTGTACCGATTTTTCATCTCGAGACCGGCAAAAGCTACGGGGCTGAAACTTTGAGGGTATAATCTACAAATTTTTCATCTCGAGACCGGCAAAAGCTACGGGGCTGAAACTTTGGGGACTTAATCTGCATGCACGTACGGGCTCACCGGCAAAAGCTACGGGGCTGAAACTTTGGGGACTTAATCTACATGCACGTACGGGCCACTATCCCTAAAATGGGCGGCCTTTCCCGCGCGGTACCCCCGTAAGACCCCGCCAAAATTTTTTACGGGGAAGCTAATAACTCGCGAACCAGAAAAGCTAGAGAGCTGAAATTTTAGGGGAATGTTCCCCGTCCAAGTAGGTACTAACGAGCTTAAATGCAGGCCCCGGGTAAGCGTGGTACCTGCGTACGGCCCCCTCCCCCAAAATTTTTCCCGCGTAAATTCATAACTCGGGGTTTTGAGATGCTAGAAAGCTGAAATTTTAGGGGAATGTTCCCCGTCCAAGCAGGTGCTAATGATCTCAAACCCAATCCCCGGGAAACGTGGTACCCGCGTACGAGCCCGCCAAAATCCTTTCCGCGTAAATTCATAACTCGAGGATTTGAGATGCTACAAAGCTGAAATCGAAAGGGGATATTCCCCATGGGTCGGTTACATTTTTGCGGGGAAAGTTGATAGCACGGGAGTCTGCGAAGCTAGAAGACTGGAAATTTAAGACATTCTCCATCCAACTATTTAATAATGAGCCCAAGTTCATCCCGCACGCATTCATGGCTCATACGTATGGTCTCGTTAATGCAGCTTTGGAAAGGAGAAAGCAGAAAATTTATGCTGGTGATCCCGTTCATGTAGGAGTTAGTGTTCAAATTCGGATCCCAGGAGACGGCCTCTTGAAAACTGCCAACGGGTAAAATACTAATTACCGAAACAGAAGAGCTAGGCCTAAAAGAAGCCCTTACGTCTCACTAAGACATCGGCTTTTATATGCTGGTATTCAGCCAGGTGAAATTCAATGTTAATTCGCGCCATATTTCCTGAATTCCGCAATTTCAACGCCACAAAACATTAAAAAAATAGAACATATAACTCGATGGCCCGGGAACGTTCCTATTGCCTGAATATGTGAGCCGCGAGTGAGTCTGGGAAGGTTATTCTTAACACGTGTTGAACGCTTCGGCGCGCCAGGCGCACCGCCTGCTGGAGATCTGCAGTTAACAGCATTTTCTAGACACCCTCTTTATCTACAGGAAAAATTAAGTCACTTCCTTTTCCGACCACTATCCAATGGCTAAAAAAGTAAATTTCGGCGCGAACAGATTTTGAAGCTCTTCCGCTCACTAGCGCAGTGATGGAGTCCGGGCGCACCGCAGGCTTTGCTTACAGACAATACAGAAAGGTGGAGTCTTCCTGCGTTCAAAATTACGTGCCAAAAGGGACGGTGAGTCATACTGCTCCCTACCCTCCGCACGCGCACTGTTTGTTCGCCTTCATTCGCGCGCGCGCGCGGTCTGAGCAACGATATCCTACACCCAGCAACCCACAGTTGTTCGTCTAACCGCTGTCTCACAGCCTCGCCAGCGACCTTCCGCTTACAGAAGCTTTACGACAACAGTCCAGTTCAGCTGGTACCTTCCGTAAGCCATCGTGGGGCGCCAGGCCTCGTGATCCAGCAATCTCATCCACAAAACCAAGCCTTTTCACGGTGACATCTACTTCCATTCCTTTCTCCAACTTTCACAGCAAAGAAAACACTTTTCTGCGGCAGCTCTACACACGCACCATCAAATTCCCCTTGTGACGATAGTCAAATCGCCAATCATTTCCACCGAGAATAAGTCTTCCACGTCGACAATCCCTTTTATCGGCTTCCCCTTACCCATCCTTTCATAAGAACAAAGACTCCTCGTCGCGTCAGCGTAATATCAACCTCGGTAACACCAACCATCTCCAGTAGCCTCAGCCCTCTCAACAAGCACTCCGGCGAAAACAAAACCGAAGTTCGGCGACAGCCAAACCAATTTGGATAAGAAACCGTTCTTGTGGCGACAGCCCAATTTAACATTCAACATATATTTCGCTTTCCCGGGCACACCAGTGCCAGGTAAGCTTTTACGCTTTCAGCAATAAAACCATACTGCTTAAAAGTTGAGCATTAATTTCATTTCGCTTTGATGCTTAATTATAAAATTAATACGGTACCCACTTCAGACATAGTGTGAACGTCACCTTCCAGTTACCTTTCCCGACCACTTTCTTGCCTGATATGTTGAAATTAGGGATGTGAACTCGTTACATTTCTTTACGAAAATCATTAGTTTTGAAAACTACGTAACTGTGCACCAACTTCCCCCATAAATTCATTAGAAAGGCAAAACTGCACCCCGTTCTTGCAAATGAACTTTACGGAAGCGGGTGGGGTAATGCTCTGCCTAGAAAAAAAACGTGCAGCAACCTCGCATCATAAAGCACAAGGCGGAACAACCAATTATGCTGCTACATCACCCAATAATACATAATTGCGATTACGATAACTTAGTTATGTAACATGTAATTATGCACAATATCAACGACAAATCATGCATTACATACTGCTACCTTCGCTTTTATTTCGCCTTTTACCTCCGCCGGAAAGGCTCCCGCTGTGTGAAAGTCTGGCCGATGCACAGCGGCGATCGGGGCCTGATACAGCAATACCTTTCCCCTTACTGTGCGTTCACAGGAACCCCCACCGATTTTGCAATGAACAGCCCCAGCGCATCGTGGCGAGCGCTCCTGTTCTCTGAAACTCTGACTGCTGCGCGACGGCGTCTGGGGCATCCGGGCACGCACCACTCAGTACCTCTCAGCCATAGTCGGCACTAGTCATTCCCTACTCTGTAGTAGCGACATAGCTCCCGTGGTCAGTCTTTCCTAAATCCGTAAGCTCGGAGGCGCACGGATTAAGGAAAAACGGAGCACGGGAACTATACCTCCGGGCGCACAGGGTTAGGAAAGGCGGAGCACGGGAACTATGCCGCTACTACCGGAGTAGAGGGCCACTAGTGCTGACTGTGGCTGAGGGGTATTGAGTGATAAGTGCCAGGATGCCGATACTGAAGCAGGGTCTTTAGGTTGGATTTAGTAAGGCATAAGTACTTCATCAGCAAATTAGATATTGAAAACGCCGGTGGTTTAGGGGTCGCTGTTGGTGAGTGTGACTACCAATCCACAAAAAGAAAAACATGTGAAGTGCATGGATCTGATCAAAATACAGTTAAATCAGCGCTAACAGTGAAAAATGCACATACTTCAACGTTTGCGCATTTCCTGCAAGAGAACTGACTGAGCAATTAAAAGGCATGGAGCTTTAAATAAGCAAGCCTAATATGCAATAAAACAAATTGGTATGCATTGGTCAGCTACGATGCCTCGAAGAAAATTAAGTGTGATGGAAAAACAGAACAGTCTCGAGAGACAGCGACAGCTTGCTGCTGAGCGGAAACGCCGATACCGCTCATCCGAATCCTATCGCCAGGCTGAAAGAGAATGTGACGCTGCGGCTCACCGGCTGCCGCAGTCCCATCCCGTTTCTGCTGCTTCTTTGGGGGGTGCTTGTGATGAACCC